GGAAGCTTGGGTAGGAGCTGCCTCCACCAGAAAGGGAGAGGGTAGTACAAATGGTCTTGTAAGCCTGTTCCTGCTATAGTTCTAGAGGTGGCTCGGAACCTTCTCAGCAAATATAGCAGTTATTTATCGTTGTGCATTTCAAAACATAGTGGCTTAAAACAATAATCATTTATTTTGCTCATGAATATGCAACTTGAGCAGGGCATGGTGGGAAAGGCTCACGAAGCTCCATGTGGCATCAGCTCGGGTGGTTCTATAGGGCATAGAGGTTCTACTTCCAAGATGGTTCAATCACATGGCTGGCAAGCTGGGGCTGGCTGTCAGTCAGGAGCCCAGCTGGGGTGAAGTGGGGATCTCGGTTTTCTCTCCACGTAGGGCTCTCCATGTGGCCTGGGCTTCCTTACAGCATGGCTATGTACAAAAGGAAGCATCCAAAGAGAGAACCAAGTAGAAGCTGTATCACCTTTTAAGACCGAGGCTCAAAGTTTTGCGTCATCACTCCTACACCATCCTATCCACCAAAAGTGAGTCATCAAAGCCAGTCCATATTCCAGGGAGGGAAATGAGACTCTATCCCTTGATTGGAGGAGTGGCAAAGAGTTTGCAAACAATGTTTTAAAGTCACCTCAGCAAACAATATTCCTGTTGTCCACTCTCCCATTGAGTACTATCTCTGACACCTCCTTTCTTCTCACCAACAGCCCCCAACCATTCAGCTTATCACCAAGACTTGTATATTCTGTACCAACAAATATCTTCAAATCTTTGCATTCTCTCATGTCACACCTCAACCAATGCATCTTCCTAACTGACCTTCCTGCTTCCATGCTTTCCTCCTGTGATATTTTAGATTAGGTTCCGTTGCATGTGACAACAAATCCAAGTGACAGTGGCTTAAACAAAATCGAAATACACTTTTATTCTTAGCAATAGGGTCTCACTCTGTTGCACAGGATGGACCACAGTGGCACGATCACAGCTCACTGCAACCTCCACCTTCTGTTCTCAAGTGATTCTCCTGCCTCAGCCTCCTAAGTAGCTGGGACTACAGGCATGCATCACCATGTCTGGCTAGTTTTTGGATTTTTTGTAGAGGCGGACTTTTGCCATCTCACCCAGGCTGGTCTCAAACTCCTAGACTCAAGGGATCTGCCTACCTTGATCTCCTAAAGTGCTAGTATTACATGCAAGAGCAACCATGCCTGGCCAAAATATACTTTTTAAAAAACGTAAAAGAAACTGATACATAGTTGTCCAAGGCCAATGCAGTGGTTCCATGATTGTCAGGCATCCAGGCTACTTTATTCTGCTGCTACACAGCCCTTAGTGTGCCGTGATCCAAAATGGCTGCTTGAGCACCACCCATCACTTCCACATTGCAGCCAGGAAGAAAAGAGTGAAGAGGCTGGGCACAGTGGCTCATGCCTATAATCCCCTTTGGGAGGCTGAGGTGGGCAGATCACGAGGTCAGGAGTTTGAGACCTGCTTGACCAGCATGGTGAAACTCCGTCTCCACTAAAAATACAAAAATTTACCAGGTGTGGTGGTGTGTGCTTGTAATCTCAGCTACTCAGGAGGCTGAGGCAAGAGAATTGCTTGAACCCGGGAGGCGAAGTTTGCAGTGAGCCAAGATTGCACCACTGCATTACAGCCTGGGCAACAAAGTGAGACTTCGTCTCAAAAGAAAGGAAAGAAGGAAAGAAGAAACGAAGGAAGGAAGGAGGGAGGGAGGGAGGGGGAAGGCAGGCAGAAAGAAAGAAAGAAAAAAGAAAATAGTGAAGAAAGATACATCCTCTAGAAAGAAAGAAAGAAAAAAAGAAAGAAAGAAAAGAGTGAAGAAAGATACATCCTCTCCCTTTAAGGACTCTTCCCAGAAATTTTTACTTATAACTCATTGACTGGCACCTAGTCACGTTATCACCCCTAGCTGCAAAGGAAGTTGGGAATGAAATCTTTATTTGGGGTAGCCATATGTCTAGCTAAAATGTAGGGGCCAGTGACTAGCAATCTGGGCCACACTCCTCTGAATCTATTGTCCACGTAACAACCCAGAACCACTTTCCTAAAACATATAGCTGAGCATAAAATGTGTATCTGCCTAAAGCCTTCAGTGGCCCCCTATCCCTTCTACATAAAACCAGAATTCCTTCAAATGATTTCATCTTTCTTCCATTCTGGGATTCCTCTCTGTTCACTCTCACTAGTGATACTGTAGCTTCAAAAAGCCCTAACCAAGCTGTAGTTTCTAGCACATTCTCTCTCCTCTCAAGATGTTTGCATATACTGTTCCCTCTTCCACCCTCTTTGCAAGTTAAGGCTTCAGCTTAGACTTCACCATCTTTCAGGAAGTCTTTTAGGATCTGTGTTAGTCTAGTCTCACACTGCTGTAAAGAACTACCTGAGGCTGGGCACCATGGTACACACCTGTAATCCCAGCACTTTGGGAGGCTGAGACTGGTGGTTCACCTGAGGTCAGGAGTTCAAAACCAGTCTGGCCAACATGCTGAAACCCAGTCTCTACTAACAATACAAAGTTAGCCGGGTGTGGTGGTGGATGTCTGTAATCCCAGCTACTTGAGGGGCCGAGGCAAGAGAAATGCTTGAACCTGGAAGCTTGAGGTTGCAGTGAGCTGAGATCACACCATTACACTCCAGCCTGGGCAACAAGAGTGAAACTCTGTCTCAAAACAAACAAACAAACAAACAAACTACCTGGGACTGGATAATTTATAAAGAACAGAGGTTTAATTGGCTCACAGTTCTTCAGGCTGTATAGGAATCATGGCTGGAGAGACCTCAGGAAACTTACAATCATGGCAGAAGGCAAAGAGGAAGGATGAAAACTTACTCCTTATCACGAGAAGCGCAAGGGGGAATCCACCCCCATGCCAATCACCTCCCACCAGGCCCGTCCTCCAACACCGGGGATTACAATTCCACATGAGATTCGGGCGGGGACACAGATCCAAAGTGTATCAGGGTCCCACAAAAATGTTTTGCTTTCTTTTAAAATCAGAAGAAAAAAAGCAAACTTTCCAGTCCAAGAACATGTTTGAATGTATAATTTTAATGTCTTTGTACCAGTGCAGCTGTACAATATAATTTTTAGTATTTTTCACGGAGGAAGGAGCCTGCGAAAGCAAGGGTCCCAAGGGCCCGTGAAAGTTGTAATGCGGCCCTTGTCCTGTGGCTCCAATAGCTCATTTCAGTGTTAGCTCTTCCTACACCACATCTTAACTGCCGGGCACCTGAAGGTCTCTCCCAGCTGAGAGGCACCTTGGAGGGCGGGGCCTGTTTTTCTCCCTTTGTTTCCACAAATGCAATCTGAATACAGCCTGGAGCTAACTGCAGGGTTATATGATGTGATCCTTGATAAGGGTGCAGGTCCTGCCTGGCTCCCTTATCTTTACCTACCATTATCTACCTTTATCTACCTTTATCTATCCTTACCTACCTCTCACCCATACTGTCTTAGTTTCAATGCTAGGTATATGTGGCTTGGAGCAGCTGACTTCATCTCTCTAAATCTCAGTATTGCCATCCGAAAAATGGAGCAATAGTAAGTTCTTGTATGGTAGATAAAAGAATACACCACCTGTGAAGGGCTTAGAGCAGTTCCTGTTGCGTAGTAAGCACTCAATAATTATTACGTATTATTGTTGTTGTTGCTATGGCCAATTAGTGTCCTATGTCTCCCAGAAATCCGTTCATTTAAGAACTGGGTCCTGGAGAAGAGAAGAAATTACTCATCCCCACCCCCACCCCCTGCTCCCCAATGATCACCTCTAATGGTGGAATTTCAGGCTGTGTAGGAGATGACCAGAGACAAAGAGGCAATCCCATAGCCTCAAATCGTTTTCTATGGCCTCCACTTGGGTGGTTTATGGGGATGGGGGCAGGGCAGGGCCTATTACTGGGAAAAGGCACAAATATTAGGGTCTAACCCACTGGGTTCAAATCCTGAATCCAACTTTTCCAACCGTTACCTACACTCTGCATTTCAATTCCTTCCTGAAAAATGAGGTTCGTAATAGCACCTACCTCTTGGAGGGTCTGGGAGGGTTCCGAGGCACCGATTGTGAATTACCACCGTCTATTAATTTACCTGATCCTCATGACCTGTTAGGACCCTCGTCAATTTAAGCTGGAACAGGAGGTATGGAGAGCCTAAGTAACTTGCCTGAGGTCACACAGCTGTTAGTTGTGGAAGCGGGTAAAATGCTGGCAAACTGGCCCCAGGACCTTTTTCTTAACTCTATTTCTTTTCATCAGGAGGTTCGTCCTCGTCTTTGTTCGGCATGGGGAGAAAGGTGTAGGGTATGGCTAGTAAGTCATGAAAAAAAAAAAAATGCCTAGGTTTGTATCTCCAAGTTTTATCCCAAGAACACAGTGGTGCATATAAAGACGCTCATTGTCGCCTCATAGTTGTGATATCGAAGTCAAATGGCAGAAGGAATCAAAAGAGCCCATGGCAGGGAATGAATTCAGCGTGGTATCAGCCTTCTTTCCAAGGGCAGGGTCGGGGTGCAACGGTGGGTAGAGACACAGCAAATGCAAAACTCAGATGGCCAGCTGAGGGGTAGGGAAAGGGAAGGAAGGGTCCACCTTCCCTCCCCTTCCTCCTCTCCCCAGCCCTCCCCTCGCCTGCCCGGTGCCCTCCTGCCGTGCTCCCCAAGAGAGCTCATTCCCTTCTCTGTTCCCTGGGTCTCTGTGGCCCCGCCCCCAGTGTAGCCTGCGGTGGGCGACAGGGCCTCCCACCCCGCACCCCCAAAAGTGCTCTGGCCCCTCTTCCCAGCCACAAGGGTCTGCCCCCTCCTCCGCCTGGGCAGAGCCACCCAGCACCTTCCACCCCCCAACCCCCCTACCTGGCCTCCATAACCTCAAACTCTCCCACACCTCTAACAGCAGAATCTGCCCATTCCCCCCCGGCCCCCACCAGCCCCTCACAAGAGCTGGGCACCCACCCTGTCTTCTCTCGCCTTTTTCCCACCTGCTCCTAGGGCCTGGCCAGCCCCCTCCTGCGCTGCCCTTCGCAGCGACTCCTGGATCGTGTGGTCAGGCGCTACGCAGAGGTGGCCGACGCTGGCAGCATCTTCATGGACCACTTCACCGATCGGGACAAGCTGCGCCTGCTCTACACGCTGGCTGTCAACTCACACCCCATCCTCCTACAGGTACTCAGGGAGCAAGCCCTCTAGGTTAGAGGTCAGCCTTGGACTCCCAGAAGCCGCCCTGGATTGAGCCCTCTCCCTCTTTTTATTGCATGTCTTGGGGCCACTCGCCCGTGTTAGGACCTTTCTGGCATTTGCTAGTTTCTACAGTGTGAAAGTGCTGTGGCTGCTGTAGAGGAAACAGGGGTGGGAGCCCAGAGCTGGGAGGAGGATGGGGATAGGAGGGAAGAGTAGCCACCTTCACTGCCTGAGCAGCCCTGAAGGGCTGTGTAAAGGAGGCCAACTTTGACCTGTGCCTCAAAGATCAGTCAGATGAGAGTGAGCTCAGAAGCGGAGAAATAGCCAAAGAATGAACCACCCAGAGATGTACCTTGCAGTTATGCTTGGAAAGGAGAGAGAGAGAAAAAAAAAGTAACTCCTAAATGTCCATACACAGGGAAATGGTCGAATAAATGAAGATGCATTAAGGGCCTGGTGATAAACTGGTCAACAAGACAAGTAGGGTCTCTCCTGCCTTCACGCAGCTTCCAGTCCAGTGGTAGAGACAGACACTTAACATGGAAACAAACACCCATAAAATATGTGGAGCCCAATCACTGACTGACCCCTGACCTCAAAGATAAGGACACAGGGGTCGCATAATGGAGACAAAGGGAACTAGAAAGTGGGAGAGAGGAATTGGAAAAGCAGGAGGGGTAGAGAGAGAAAGAGGGCGGAAGAGGAAGCAGAAGACGAGGAGGAGGAAGAGGACTAAGAAAAGGAAGAGGAAGGAAGGAGGGAGGGGAGGAGAGGGAAAGGTAGGAGGAGAAGAGAAGGAAGAACAGGGGGAAAAGATACAGGTAGAGGAGAAGGAAGCCATAGCAAAGACAGTTAATAAACACTGGCCAAAGGGATGATGATGGAATACATAGTAACAACTATCATTTACTGAGTACCTGCTATGTGCCAGGCATTGGGCTGAAAGTTTGACATTATCTCATTTATTTATTTACTTATTTTGAGACAGAGTCTTGCTCCATCGCCAGGTGCCAGGCTGGAGTGCAGTGGCGTGATCTTGGCTCACTGCAACCTCCGCCTCCCGGGTTCAAGCACTTCTCCTGCCTCAGCCTCCCTGGGACTACAGGCGTGCGCCACCATGCCCAGCTAATTTTTGTATTTGTAGTAGAGATCGGGTTTCACCATGTTGGCCAGGATGGTCTCGATTTCTTGACCTCTTGATCCGCCCGCCTCGGCCTCCCAAAGTGCTGGGATTACAGGGACATTATCTCATTTAATGCTGACAACCTCCGCCCGAGAATATTATTATTGTCCCCTTTCCAGATGAGGTTCAGTGGAGTTCTGAGATGTGAAATGACTTAGCCCAAGTCACTTTTGGCCAGCGTCAGTAATAGAACCCAAACGCAGAGCCGTCCCACTAAAACCTGCCTGCTGACATTGGCCTTTGAAATAGTGGTGGAGGAAAAGGAATTGCAGGTTGTCCTGTGCTCTCACAGGTCTTTTCTCCCAAACCTTGGCTGCTTCCAGGCCTGGCTCCTGAGAGGCATGGGCTAAGAGCATGGGGCTGGGACCCTCCACTCAGCTCTGGGCCCTGCCCAGGAGAGGCATGGCATGGAACCCGTGCAGGCAAGCACAGTAGGCCCAGGAATTCCCTCCGTGGTACCTTAGTAAGAAAGGTCCCCTCTGGGCCAGGCGTGGTGGCTCATGCCTGTAATCCCAGAACTTTGGGACGCTAAAACGGGCTCGTCAACTGAGGCCAAGAGTTCAGGACCAGCCTGGCCAGCATGGTGAAACCCAGTCTCTACTAAAAAATAAAAAAATTTTATTCTGATGCAAGACAAAAATAAAAATAAAAATAAGTTTAATTAAAAAAAAAAAAAAAGGCCAGCTGCAGTGGCTCACACCTATAATCTCAGAACTTTGGGAGGCTGAGGCGGGTGAATCACAAGGTCAGGAGTTCGAGACCAGCCTGGCCAACATGGTGAAACCCCATCTCTACTAGAGATACAAAAAATTAGCCGGCTGCAGTGGCGCACGCTTGTAATCCCAGTGCAGGAGGCACGGCAGGAGAATCGCTTGAACCCAGGAGCCGGAGGTTGCAGTGAGCTGAGATCGCGCCATTGCACTCCAGCCTGGGCAACAGGGCGACACTGCATCTCAAAAAAAACAAAACAAAACAAAAATAGGCAGGCGCAGAGGGGCATGCCTGTAATTCCAGCTACTCAGGAGGCTGAGGCAGGAGAATTGCCTGAACCTGGGAGGCGGAGGTTGCGGTGAGCCGAGATCGCGCCACTGCACTCTAGCCTGGGTAACAAGAGCGAAACTCCGTCTCAAAAAAAAAGAGGTCCCTGTGAGCAGGGGAAACTCAAATGGGCATGGGTTCTTTGCAATGCAGTATGTGGGATAAAATGGGCAGAGGACTGCAGAAAACCATCAGAGATGGGATGCCTTTGTTTTTCAAAGAAGGAAAACAAGGAAGAAAATGCTGAGTTGCTGTTATTTACCCCATAGTTTAATCCCAGCACTTTGGGAGGCCAAAACTGGCCCATCAACTGAGGTCAAGAGTTCGAGACCAGCCTGGCCAGCATGGTGAAACCCAGTCTCTACTAAAAAATAAAAAAATTTATTCTGCCGGGCGCGGTGGCTCAAGCCTGTAATCCCAGCACTTTGGGAGGCTGAGGCGGGTGGATCACAAGGTCAAGAGATCGAGACCATCCTGGTCAACATGGTGAAACCCCGTCTCTACTAAAGATACAAAAAATTAGCTGGGCATGGTGGCACGTGCCTGTAATCCCAGCTACTCAGGAGGCTGAGGCAGGAGAATTGCTTGAACCCAGGAGGCAGAGGTTGCGGTGAGCCGAGATTGCGCCATTGCACTCCAGCCTGGGTAACAAGAGCGAAACTCCGTCTCATAAAAAAAAAAAAAAAAAAAAAAAAAAAAAAAAATTTATTCTAATGCAAGACAAAAATAAAAATAAAAAAAAAAAAAAAGGCCAGGTGCAGTGGCTCACACCTATAATCTCAGCACTTTGGGAGGCTGAGGCGGGTGGATCACAAGGTCAGGAGTTTGAGACCAGCCTGGCCAACATGGTGAAACCTCATCTCTACTAGAGATACAAAAAATATCTCTAGTATATATCTAGATGGTTACCATTCTAGATATAGCTGCTTCAAAGAAATAGTCAATAAAAGGTTAGCCAGGGTACCTCTCCACTTTTCATCTCACAAATCCACAGGTTCGGAACTCTCACAAGGAGGCAGAGGAGACAGGTGAGGGCTTCGTGCTTCCATAGGCTACTGTTAGGCTGTCTGGAAGGTTCCAGTTAGTTGGGGAACATCTGTTCCGTGTATGTAGCTACCCCAGCCAGACACGTTCACCCAGGGCTGGCAGGAGAGGGGCTTAAAGCTAGTATAGTAGTTCCCAAAACTTCAGCCACCCACAGAACACCTTCATTTTAGCCCTGTCCCAGAACAAGGTACCTGTACTGGTGTATGTGTGTGTGTGTGTGTGTGTGTGTGTGTGTGTGTACAAATATGCATTTTATATATATTTGTGTGTATATATACATATATAGTATAACATATTAATATAATATATAAACATATATAATTATGTTTATATCTAAATTACATAATTCCATATATTTACATTATGGTATGTGTATGTATATATACGTATAAATATAATGTGTGTGTGTATATATATATACTTTTTAAAAAATTTTTATTACATTTTAGGTTTTGGGGTACATGTGAAGAACATGCAAGATTGTTGCATAGGTACACACGTGGCAGTGTGATTTGCTGCCTTCCTCCCCTTCACCTATATCTGGCGTTTCTCCCCATGCTATATCTCCCCAACTCCCCACCCTCCACTGTCCCTTCCGTATTTCCCCCTAACAAACCCCAGTGTGTGATGCTCCCCTCCCTGTGTCCGTGTGTTCTCATTGTTCAACACCCGCCTATGAGTGAGAACATGTGGTGTTGGATTTTCTGTTCTTGTGTCAGTTTGCTGAGAATGATGGTTTCCAGGTTCATCCATGTCCCTACAGAGTCTCGCTCTGTCACCCAGTCTGGAGTGCAGTGGTACAATCTTGGCTCACTGCAGCCTCTGCCTCTTGGGTTCAAGCAATTCTCCTGTCTCAGGCTCCAGAGTAGCTGGGATTACAGGCATGCGCCACCACTCCTGGTTGATTTTAAAATTTCTAGTGAAGACAGGGTTCCACTGTGTTGGCCAAGCTGACTTCAAACTCTTGTCCTCGAGCGATCCACCTGCCTCGGCCTCCCAAAGTGCTGGGATTACAGGAATGAGCCACAGCACCTGGCTGCTGTTATTTTTAAAAATGTTTTTCTTTAGTAGCCAGGCATGGTGGCACCTGCCTGTAGTCCTAGCTGCTCAGGAGACTGGAGTGAGAGAATTGCCTGAGCCTAGGAGTTTGAGGCTGCAGTGAACTGTGATTGTACCACTGCACTCCAGCTTGGAGAACAAAGCAAAACCTCATCTCTAAAAAAAAAAAAAGAAAGAAAGAAAGAAAAAAAAAAAAGTTTTTCTTTAAATCAGCCTTAAGTCGATCTTCCATTATTTTTCCCATAGCCTCTTCCTAAGCAGTGATATCTGTGAAATCTCAAATAGTCCTATTTTTTTCAGCTATACAACTCTTACACATATTTCCCTGAATCCCGGATACTATCTAAAATTGTGGCAAGTCCATTAACATTCTCATACCCTGTTTGGAGGAACTCTGTTGAAGTGCAGTCTACTACAAAGAAATGAGAGCAGCCTCCTTTTCCGAATCTTCCCATCAGTAATAGAATTTAAAAATGGGGAAGGGGAGGGACAGAGGCATTGCACGTTCCAAGACGTATAAAAAAGGTTGCAAGACACGTCGCTGATGTGTTTTGAGATGTTGGTCTTTCTGTGCTTGCCGTGAGGGACAGAGATAGGCAGACAGACAGATAGATGATAGATGATAACTGTCACCAGATTTTTCTCTCTAATCCTCCTCCTTCTGGCTTGGCAGATCTTCCCTGGGGCCGAGGGATGGCCGCTGCCCAAGTACCTGGGCTCCTGTGGCAGATTCATCGTCAGCACCAGCACCAGACCGCTGCAGGAATTCTATGATGCACCCCCAGATCAGGTGGCTGACCTTGCCTACCAGCTCCTGGGTGTCCTGGAGTCTCTGAGGAGCAATGATTTGAACTATTTCTTCTACTTCACCCATATTGATGCAGACATGTTCGGTGTCTTTAACAACGGGCATCTGTTCATCCGAGATGCCAGTGCAGTGGGCGTCATCGACAAGCAGGAAGGTACTCAGCATGGGCCTGGCTGAGCAGCTGTCGGAGGGGAAGTCAGGGTGACTGGAGCTAGGGAGGGGTGGCTAGGGGTCACACTACTGGGCCTTTTCCATCTCTGCATGTCACAGTGAGACCCACTCAAGTTTGAAGAATGTTTGATTTCATCTAAAATGTCCCATACTCCTATTTGAATTTCTGCCTTGCCCCTCCTCGCGCTCTCGCTCTCTCTTTCTCTCTCTCTCTCTCTCTCTCTCTCTCTCTCTCTCTCTCTCACACACACACACACACCCCACCTTTGGGTCCATCTCCTGCTCAGAGTCTTTCTCATCAGATGCCTTTACCCTTTATCTGAAACTTAAGTATCAGGCTGATTCACTGGTACATTTTGCAATCTGTTTTGGCACAATTGCTCTTTATAAAGTTTTCAAAGTGAAAAAACATGGAACCAAACAAGGTGGGTGACTGAATTGTGTTTCTCACTATGTGTAAAGGCTCATTCAGGGTTCTAGAACCCTTCAAACACCCTAATCTCTAATGCTGACCAAATTTGCTGAGCCCAATAAGAGGACAAAGGGTTTTATTTTCTAATTTCTGATTTTGTTTGTATGCAAAAGCCTACAAAAATAGACAAATTAAACCACACTTATTTATTTCCTGATTTGCCTTTAAGAAGAATCAAATTAGAAGAAATGAGGCTGATTCCAGAATATTCTGGATATATAAATCATGAAACGTCAGACATAGTACAACTCATCGAATACATATTTGGGATTACTTGTTTTTTCTCCTAACTTTGCATATTATTTTTGTTTTGTTTTATTTTATTTTATTATTATTTTTTTAGACAAAGTCTCACTCTGTTGCCCAGGCTGGAGTGCAGTGGTGCAATGTCGGTTCACTGCAACCTCCGCCTCCTGAGTTCAAACAATTCTCCTGCCTCAGCCTCCTAATTAGCTGGGATTACAAATGTGTGCCACCACACCTGGCTAATTTTTGTATTTTTAGTAGAGACCGAGTTTCACCATGTTGGCCAGGCTGGTCTCAAACTCCTGACCTCAGGTGATCCACCCGCCTCAGCTTCCTGAAGTGCTGGAATTACAGGCATGAGCCACCGGGCCTGGCCCTAACTTTGCATTTTATAGGCACAAATGAAACCAGTCTCAGTAATTTTCTGAGTTTCCTAATTTAGTAATAATGAGAGTCTAACAATATGGATGTGATCTCTGCAATTATCAGCCTAACTTCTGGTGAGGTAAGTGGGTTTTCCATGCCCAGGCCTCACCTTATTGTAGCAGAGGACTCCTTCCATGTGGTTCTCAAAAGGAACCACTGTGTCTCTGAGTCCTAAATCTCCTGGTGACAGGGAAATGCTAGGAGACTATCCTATGTGTCACCCAGCAATTCTTTTTTTTTTTTTTTTTTTTTTTTTTTTGAGATGGAGTCTTGTCTTACTCTGCCGCCCAGGCTGGAGTGCAGTGGCGCGATCTCAGCTAACTGCAGCCTCCACCTCCCAGGTTTAAGCGATTCTCCTGCATCAGCCTCCCAAGTAGCTGGGATTACAGGTGTGAGCCACCGCCCCAGCCTCACCCATTAATTCTAATTAGCGGTGCCCTTCCTCAGTGAGCACAGGTGTCAGGGTGTTTAATACTTCCCATTTGTCTTTTAGGCAGCCAAGAAGCCACCGGGGCCGGAGAGAATAAAGACATTTTTAGCTGCCTGGTTTCCGGCTGCCAGGCCCAGCTGCCCTCCTGCGACAGCATCTCTGAGAAGCAGAGCCTGGTGCTGGTGTGTCAGAAGTTGCTGCCTCGACTTCTCCAGGGGAGGTTCCCCTCCCCCGTGCAAGACGACATAAACTCCGCTCTTGCTCAGTGTGGGGACGCCACCCGCCCAGACCCAGAAGCCCTTGGGGCTGCCAGCCAACTGAAAGACATCTTGAGGCCCCTGAGAACCTGTGACTCCAGATTTGCCTACCGTTACCCAGACTGCAAATATAACGATAAGTTCTGAAAGGCTGGTGTCTAACTAGCCTCGGGGATGACACACTGGGCTCTCCATTCCCCCAGTCGGGTTGCTGCAAGGTTGAAAAAAGCCGCTCTTTTTAAAATATGAGGACAAAGGCACATGCATTTCTCAGGGACTGAGAGGGAAGTTGTGAGATACCATGTGTCTGTCTCTGCTGGCTGGTACGTCCTGGCAAATCCCAGGGGTGGGGGGAGGGCATCAGAAGACCTGGGTATGGACGCTCACTCAGTGTCTTTGAGCATCAGTTTCCTCTCTTCTCCACCAGACTCTCAGGAGGGTGAAAGAAGACAGAGATGGAGCCACCATTGAGCGTATGTCCCAAGCGTGGGGCTTGGGACGTGTGCTCACCACCTCCATCCCAGCGGTTATGAAGTGTGTTCTGGAAAAGCACAGAGGCAGGGAGCACGGGGAAGAGCCGCGCAGGTCAGGAGGCTGGAGTGGAGGGAAGGCGGGGGAAGACAGGCTTCCCGCTGCTACCACGTTAGACTCGGACAAAAGGGGCCCCCTTCCTGCTCCCTATGGCCCTGCCACACTCCCAACGCCACTGCAGGATGAGGAGACTGCGGGCCAAAGGGACACGCCTGCCACTGCCTAGAGCCTGGTACCTGGGGCTTCATCCCCCTGCGCATGGAGCTTCTCCGGGTGTGGGAAGAAGCCCGAGGTAAGAAGAGAAAGGGGAGCCAGCGGGGGGCCAATGTGTTAGCCCAAGTCCTCCAAGAGAGGTGTCAAGACAGACTGAACGGGACGGAGATGTGTTAGGGGAAATGCTTGTGTGAAAGGAAAGGAGGGAGCCGGAGAAAACTGGGAGGAGCATGAAGTCGAGCTGCAAGCTGAGCCCCAGCAAAGGAGAGAAGGTCCGGCAGAAGCTTGCTGAGCTCAAAATCGAAGAAAGATCCAGCAAGGCGCTCAAGGGGTGTTCTCAAGGCAAAGGCCATCAGAGGATCCCCATGTCTCCCACAAATAGACCCCTTTAGCATCCCTGCTGCACGAAGTGGTTGGTGGATACAGCCTGTGGGAAGCGTGGCCTCCGCCCCACCACAAAGATAGATTTCAGAGCAGAGCAGTGGGGGCCCCTGGTCAGCCCTGCTCCCTAGAGCAGGAGATCTTGAGTGAAAGAACATTCTTCTTGTAGCCACAGCTGAGGCCCTGAACCAGCTCCGTCCACACCACAGGCTTCAAGTTGGGACTCTGAGTCTGGGAATTTTCATTCAATTTTGGCCTTACAGGTCACTCAGCAGAAATACATTTTTTTCAAGGTCAACCAATAGAACATACTTTTATTCAACAGTTCGTTCGTTGGTGTTTTAAATATTTAGCTACATGGCATGTCGGCTTCCATGTACACTCTTGCCTTGGCCCCTGAAACGTAAGCGGGGGCTCTTCTGCACCTTTGCCCAGCCTCCCTGCCATCCCTTAACCCCAGAAACCTCTCAGTGTACCTCCTCTTTTCTACCTCTGAATCCCCACCTTTAAAGTCAGAACAGGCCAGGCACGGTGGCTCACACCTGTAATCCCAGCACTTTGGGAGGCCTAGGTAGGCAGATCACTTGACGTCAGGAGTTTGAGACCAGCCTGGCCAACATAGTGAAACCCCATCTCTACAAAAAATACTAAAATTAGCCACGTATGGTGGCATGCATCTGTAGTCCCAGCTACTCGGGAGGCTGAGGCAGGAGAATCACTTGAACCCGGAAGACGAAGGTTGCAGTGAGCCAAGATCATGCCACTGCACTCCAGCCTGGGCAACAGAGTGAGACTCAGTCTCAAAATAAATAAATAGATAGATAAAAATAAAGTCAGAATACCTGGCTTAACAGGCCTCACTATCCAGATGAGGAAACTGAGGCCCGGAAAGGAAAAGTGATCTGCAGGGATATTTCCAGAACCCCTGCTATTAGGAGGCTTCTGTTACCCCCACCTTCAGCCTCTGACTCTCACCTGTGCGACCCAATTCTGGTCCCTTCACTCCCACTCAAAAATGGACCCCAGAAAAGCCTCAATTTGAGGTGTACCTGGTTGCCTTTTGGATTTTCTCTTGACTGCTACAGGCACTGTCCCAGGGCGACCACGATTGGGAAGGTGACTGGCCAAGCTTGTGGACTGGCCAGCAAGCTCGGGCTGCCTGAGACACTCTGAAATGGCTGCTTTCTGGTCACAGTCCCTCTCCTGCTGGCCTGACTACAGCTGGCCCCCTGACGACAGACCAGGAGAGGCCACAGCCTCCAGAGCCTCCAGTCCACCGGAGGAAGAAGGCTTACCAGAGAGACTCTCTGATGCCTGAGCCAGGTCCCAGCGCTTCTCCCTACGTCCGGGTGTGTTTCCACCGCAAAATGCCGCCACACAATGAGTGACTTTGGCCCCGTATGGGCCAGCGTGTGGTCCCAGGTAACCCTCAACTACCTCCACCACACGTCTGTCTACCTGTGGTGATGAGCACTGGCCCTGCCCCCTTCTCTCCTCCAGACTAGTTGCCTGAGACGCGGAGCAATGTTCCTTCTAAACCATCCTGAAGCCGCTGGCGATGCTGGGTCCAGGCAGGAAATGCAGACTTGGCACCTACCTCTATCAGCAGAAAGAGACTTTGCGCCCCACTCGTCTGAGTCCCAGGATGGAGCCAATAAGAAGACCAGCGAGCTCTCTTCTGGGGAGCTGTTGGGAGATTTGTTTTTAGTATAAATTACAATAATATTCTGTGTATGTGTACAGCTGTGTTCACATCCACAGTGTAACCTGTGATATAGTTTGGATGTTTGTCCCCTCCAAATCTCATGTTGAACTGTGATCCCCAACATTGGAGGTGGGACCTGGTGGGAGGTGACTGGGTGATGGGAGCAGTTGCCTCCTGAATGGTCCGCGCCCTCCCCGAGGTGATAAGTGAGTGCTCTCTGAGCTCACTTAAGATCCGGTTGTATGAAAGTGTGGCACCTCCCTCCCCCACCTCTCTCTCTCACTCCCGCTCTCACCATGTGACAGCTGGCTCCCCCTTTGCCTTCCACCATGGTAGGAAGCTTCCTGAGGCCCTTACCAGGAGCAGATGCCAGCCCCACACGTCCTGTACTGCCTGCAGAAACATAAGCCAAAATAAAGCTCTTTTCTACCAACTACCCAGCCTCTGGTATCCCTTTATAGTAATACCAAAACGGCCTACTACAAGCTGCGTGCTAAGGAAAGCAGGGCAGATGTTAGGCAGGGCCTCCATATGCGTAGGAGTGGCTCTTCCTAGCTTCAGCAGGTCACAGAGTCCCTTTTCTCATACACCTTCACTACAGAGCAGATGTTCTTGTCAACATGCCTGAAGACCACAGGCCTCACTCAGCTGCCTTCCTACTGCGAATACTGCTACTACTACTAAGACTTTCTGCTACTACTTTCCTACTATTACTATTTCCCTACTAGTACTATTTCCTATTACTACTACTACTTTCCTACTAATACTACTACTTCCTATTGCTACTACTACTTCTTCCTATTACTACTTTCCTACTACTACTACTACTACTTCCTAAACTACTATTTCCTTACTACTACCTTCCTACTACTACTTTCCTCCTCCTCCTCCTACTACTACTTCCTACTACTACTTTCCTACTACTACTACTACTTTCCTACTACTACTACTTCCTACTACTACTACTAATTACTATTCCTTTCCTACTACTACTCTTTTCCTACTACTACTACTACTTCATATTACTACTGCTACTTTCCTACTTCTACTTCCTATTACTACTACTTCCTATTACCACTACTATTATTTTGCTTCTACAACTACTTTCTACTACTACTACTACTTCCTATTACTACCATTACTACTTCCTACTACTATTTTCCTACTACTACTACTTATACTACTTTCCTCCTACTACTACTACTTCCTATTACTACTACTATATATTACTACCACTACTACTTCCTATTACTACAACTACTTTCTACTACTACTACTACTTCCTGTTGCTACCATTACTACTTCCTACTATTTTCCTACTACTACTACTTATACTACTTTCCTCCTCCTACTACTACTTCCTATTACTACTACTATATATTACTACCACTACTACTTCCTATTACAACTACTTTCTACTACTACTACTACTTCCTGTTGCTACCATTACTACTTCCTACTACTACTTCTACTTTCCTTCTACTACTACTACTATATATTACTACTACTACTTCCTATTACTGCTTTCCTACTACTACTACTTCCTATTACTGCCATTACTACTTCCTACTACTATTTTCCTATTTTCCTACTGCTACTACTACTTTCCTACGACTACTTCCTATTACTAGTACTACTACTTCCTACTACTGCTACTTTCCTACTACATTTCTTCCTACTACTACTTTCTACTACTGTGATTACTACTTTCCTACTAATACTGCTACTTCTTACTACTACTACTACTACTACTACTGCTACTATGACTACTTCCTACTACTGCCACCTGCTAACCCTCCCCCACCCACCCTGTGGTGGACACAGAGATGAGCCACCCAGCTCTCCCTTCAAGAAACAATGCTCTTCCCAGCATGGAAGCATGGTTGGCATGCAGTAGTAAGCCATCAGCCCCTTCAGGCTCTGCCTCACCACACAGAGTGGTTTCACTTGAGGTCACACCCTTCCTAGGGCATATCTATACCCAGTGACTAGGCATGGAGAAGTGTGAAGGCCCAGCCATTTTGGCCCATTGAGCAACAACTCTAACAGGCAGTTCTCCTTCCAGAACTCCCACCAAGCTGATCAAGACTGTTGAGCCTGCCTCACAGTTTGATGTTTCTCTTTTTTTTTTTTTTTTGACAGGGTCTCGGTCTATCACTAAGCCTGGAGTGCAGTGGCACAATCTCGGTACACAGTAGCCTCTGTCTCCCATGTTCAAGCGATTCTCATGCCTCAGCCTCCTGAGGGTTACAGGTATGTGCCACCACTCCTGTATACCTTTTGCAATTTTTTTTTTTTTAGTAGTAGAGATGGGGTTTCAACATGTTGGCCAGGCTGGTCTCAAACTCCTGGCCTCAAGTGTTCCCCATAGCAACTAGAGCAGATGCTGGGAAAATGTTCTTGCTGAGGATAATGATGGCTTTCTTAGCCCTTTTCACTCAGAGTACTTCATACATCATACTGGCCTTACACGGGATAGAGCCACTCCTCAGGAACTGTGCCTTCCCTTCCATAACCAGGAGACAGGAGAGTCAACACTCCAGTGACTTCAGACAGAAAGAAATTATATGTCGTGCATTCTTAGTCCCCTGGAATTTGATTGAATTAGGGTATTTTTCTGAATTATGTCAAGCATTTGCCTTTAAGCCTGCAGGACATGCTACATAATTTGTGGAGCCTGGTGCAAAATGAAAACGTGAGGTTCCTTGTCCAACAATTATTAAGAATCACAAGATGAGACAGCAGAGAACTAAACCAAGCTCAAGCCCCCTGTGATTGCACTGGTTGCAGGTACACAAAGCTGACCCTGGGTGCCTATACTGATTCTCCTTACTCTTGGCATAGAGTTTCCCTCAGCATTTGCTGGGGTCTCAGTTGACCTCCACATCCCAGAGGAGTAGGTGTGAGACTAGCAGCAATATATAAAATATTTAGGCCAGGCACTCTGGCTCACGCCTGTAATCCCAGCACTTTAGGAGGCTGAGGCAGGAGGATCACCTGAGATCTGGAGTTCATGACCAGCCTGACAAACATGGTGAATCCCTGTCTCTACTAAAAATACAAAAATTATTCAGGCGTGGTGGCACATGCCTGTAATCACAGCTACTCAGGAGGCTGAGACATGAGAATCACTTGAATCCTGGAGGCAGAGGCTGCAGTGAGATCACGCCACTGCATTCCAGCCTGGGTCACAAAGCAAAACTTCATCTCGGAAAAAAAATTAACCTCCACGGGGCAAAGGAACTGACCTATAAGAACAGACTCCACCAGTTGCAGCCGTCAGGAGAGCCAAACCACAGCCCCGAAGGCAGGACCTCCTTTTCAAACAAGGAAAGTGATTTCAGTGATTGGCATGAAATGAGCATTTTTAGGTCTCCTGCTTTCCCAGTCCTCCCTGTAGCAACTGACTTCTGCCTCTAAGTGATTCCATGAGCCTGAGCATTTCTTCTGGAGTTAAAATAAATGCATTGTTGGATGTGTATTCTTTTCTGGAAAGATCTAGAGCTCTGGAATCAGACAGACCTAGGACCAAATCATGACCCTGCTTGTCACTGTGTAATCTTGTGCAGGTTACTTAACCTTTCTGAGCCTCCCTTTACCCATCTATAAAACGTGGAGAAAAAGAGTTATCCTTTCCAAATCATTATCCTGTGTAAATAACATAATGTCCCTCAAGAGCTGGGCACACATGGGAGGTCTATATTTGTGTTTGTTTTTAAGAAAATTGTTTTATCGTCATTCACATATTTAATAGAAAAGGAAATGCACAAATGTCTCAGGTTTGTATTTAAAAAAGAATCCGGGTTTGTGCAGGTGGGTCTATTTACATCTGGGAGCAGGGCTGTCCCCACATCAGGCGCAGCAGCTGCACTTCTCCAACGCCCCTTTGCAGATGCAGCCCTGGGCACACCTGGCACCGTCCACGGGGCAGCAGGAGCAGCAGCTCTTCTTGCAGGAGGGGCATCTGCACTCTCTGCACTTGCAGGAGCCACCAGTGGCGCAGGAGCGGTTGGGGTCCGTTTCGAGCCACGAGGCTGGAGATCCCACGTGAGAAGTTGGGAAATTGTGAGGCACGTGGAAGGTGTGGTCGGGAGGTCTATATTTGAAGGTAAAGGTAGGGAAACGGCAGAGCGTCTCCGGGAAGAAAGGGTTCCTCACGCAGACACGGTGAGCACAGCAGCATCTTGGGAGGGATTCTTGTCCCTACCCCAAGCCTCTACTTTAGCTCAGAGGAGCCACCAGGATGCCTCAGGCCTCTAGACAGTCTGACTGGGGCCATTTTTCTTCCCTCCCCCAGCCAGATTCTGGGTGGATCATGAATGGCAGCAGAGCAGCCACAATCCTTGGCTCCCCAGCCCGGCCCTCAGCCAGGCTCAGAAGGGGCTCCTCTTTAACCAGGTAATGTTGGGGCCTGAAGAAGTCCATTCATGCTCGGTATGTGAAGAGAAATGAGGAACGCAGTTTGGCCCGTTGAAAACTCCAGCTTCACTGCCGGTTCACGATGATGTGGCTTGGGACCTGTTGCTCACATATGCTGGCACGGCTGAGCTCACATGCTCACATGCACACAAGTATACTCTCTGCTCTGTCCACAGTCTTTTTGTTTCTGTTTTTGGGGCAGGGCTTTGTCCAGGCTGGAGTGCAGTGATGGCATGATCATGGTGCACTGCAACCTCTGCCTCCTGGGCTCAAGCAATCCTCCCGCCTCAGCCTTCTCTGTAGCTGGGACCACAGTGCATCACTATGCCTGGCAACAAAAATTTTTTGTAGCCCGGGTGCAGCAGCTCACGCCTGTAATCACAACACTTTGGGAGGCTGAGGCGGGTGGATCATCTGAGGTCAGGAGTTCGAGGCCAGCCTGGACAACATGGTGAAACCCCGTCTCTACTAAAAATACAAAAAGTAGCTGGACGTGGTGGCAGACGCCTAAAATCCCAGCTACTCAGGAAGCCAAGGCAGGAGAATCTCTTGAACCTGGGAGGCAGAGGTTGCAGTGAGCCGAGATCATGCCACCACACTCCAGCCTGGGCAACAGTGTGATACTCTGTCTCAAAAAAAAAATTTTTTTTTGTAGGGGCAATGGGGTCTCACTCTATTGCCCAGGATGTTCTCAAATTCCTGGGCTCAAGCTGTCTTCTTGCCTTGGCTTCCCTAAGTATCGGAATTACGAGCAGGAGCCATAGCTCTTGGCCATGTCTGCCTCTCTTTATGACATTGTTGAAAGATGGTCGTAGGCTGTGTGAAAGGGTCAACACACAGGAAGGGGCCACAGCATTTGCTGATATAATGACCCTTCAAAAAGGCAACTTAGATGCAGCAAACCACCATGACATGTGTATAACTATGTAACAAACCTGCACATTCTGCACATGTATCCCAGAACTTAAAGTATATAAAAAATAAGATTTTTTTATAAGGCAACTTAGGCCGGGCATG